GTTCCAGTGTTGGTACACGTATTCACATTGTTCCAGTGTTTGTACACGTATTCACATTGTTCCAGTGTTTGTACACGTATTCACATTGTTCCAGTGTTTGTGAATACGTGTACCAACACTGGAACAATGTGAATACGTGTACATTGTTCCAGTGTTTGTACACGTATTCACATTGTTCAGTGTTTGAACACGTATTCACATTGTTCAAGTGTTGGTACACGTATTTACATTGTTCAAGAAATTCGTCCGCGTATAAGATGGCTTCGCTCGTTGTCTGCCAAAACAATTATGTAATCAAATTGAAATTGATACGAATTCGTATGCGAAAAGACATATTATACAAGAAAACAATACGGTGTAAATGGTTATTTGTTGTATTTGCATTCCATAAGTTTTCATTCGAAAAAAAAAAGACTTGAATGTTTCAAATTGTAAATGTAAGAAAAACATGTTCAGCCAAATATCGAAAACAACAACAAAAACAAATCTTCATCTAACGGCAACAAATAGAAAATGTGGAGACTGACAGATGTGCGTGTAATTTCCGGTTGAGTGGCGATTTACGTGAATTAAAACGAACTAATTATGTGAATCGTTTGTGTAGTTCTAGAAAATTAGGGTTAACTGCGGAAACTATGTTACCCAAGGGGAAAAACGATAACACCGTCATTATGCTTTTTACCTACACCCCCGGGGTGATTTGAAAGGCAGCATAAACTGTGGGTTACCTGAACCTCCCCTATTTTTCTTAAAGGCCGTTTTTCTAGTTAAGTAATGGAGAGTACGTCCTTTGAAGTTTTTGTGTACTTACAGTACATCAAGTAATATAAAATATTTTAGTGTATAAAGAGAAAACAGGGTGTGTGTTTTTTTTATTCTTCGTTCAATCAGTTATTTCAAGATTAAATAATCCCCACACACGCACATCGTTCATCGTGAAACTTTAGGACTCTTAAAAAGGTGTTTAACAGATATTGTATTTTCTCATTGTAATCTATATATGTTTGTATCATAACTTAAATTATTATGACCGTTACACTTTTTTAACCTAAAATATTTTCTGAATGGAACAAGCTGGAGATAACAATGAGAACAGCACGAGCTTTCTACACAGACATTTGAACCTAATGAAGCTTATCGAAATCGAACCCCCCCCCCCC